TGGTGCGGTTGCCCCGGCGAGAGGGGGTAGTGGCACGGCGAGCCCTGGGAGAGAGGGGGCAGCAGTGCGGTGGGCCCGAGAGTTGGGGGGCGTCACCGAGAAGTCCCCAGAGTGGGCGCAGAGAGCCCCAGACGGGGGGCTGTATTTTAGAAGCCTGAGTTCGGGCGACATTACAGGGGAAGCCCCAGGAGGGGGCACTATTGCAAAGGCCCCAGACAAGGGGGCGACACTATAGAGAAGGCCCCAGAAAGGGGCAACATTACAGGGAGGCCCCGAGTGGGCTCGGAGAGCCCAAGAGAGGGCAGCACAGAAGAGGAGGCCCCAGAGAGCGGGCGAAAGTACATAGAGGCCCAAGAGACGGGCCGTGCACATATAGAGAGACATACCAGCGTCTATCCCATCAGCGAGGCTTGGGGCGTGGTATTAGGGGTTGGTAGCAGCCACGCATAGCCCATAGGGCTAGGGTGCCTGGGGAGCACCCACCATACCGGGAGACCCCCCAGGGGGTCCGGGGAATACACGGGGACAGAGGTCTCAGCTAATCGTGCCCAGGGAGTCATAAGGCAGCCTCCCAACATATACTAAACAGCAAAGACGTGGTGGGCAAGAATTTGAGGGTGCCCTTGGGCCGACTGGGCACGGTGAGGGGGCTGTAAGGAGATCACGGCCCTCCCGCAGGACCCCGCGGTTACAGAGGGGGCGCAGCATTTGGGGTGCACTGACCCTGGCGCCAGAGGGGGCGCAGCATTTAGGGTGCACTGACCCCGGCACCAGAGGAGGCGCAGCATTTTGCAGGGCTGTGGAAAGCCCAGGTGCCAGAGGGGCTCAGCATTTTGCAGGGCGTTGGAAAGCCCAGGCGCTAGAGGGGGCGCAGCACTTCGCAGGGCTGTGGAAAGCCCAGGCACCAGAGAAGGCGCAGCATTTTGCAGGGCTGTGGAAAGCCCAGGTGACGGAGGCGGCGCAGCATTTTGCAGGGCTGTGGAAAGCCCAGGCGACGGAGGAGGCGCAGCATTTTGCAGGGCTGTGGAAAGCCCAGGTGCCAGAGAGGCGCAGAGCGAGACAGGGCTGCAGAGAGCCCAGGCACCAGTGAAGGCGCAGTGCGAGACAAGGATGCGAAGAGCCTGAGGAGGACCAGGGGGCCAAATTGTAACAAGGCCCAGACCGAACAACGTCAGTTCCATCTGCGAGGCTTGGGGCATGGTAAAGGGGTGGTTGGAGCCACGCATAGC